CTGGGGCAGCAAGCTCTGTGGCCCAAATCATATAGCAGTGGTTGTGACAGGGAATATACAAGAGAGATCAGAACGAGCGGTCAGAGGATTAGGACTGAGGACCTCAGGTTTGTGTTTTCTGCACCGTCTTTTGAGCGTGTCACCTCTGCGTGGGCCTGCGCTATAACCACATTTCTGTGGGGTGCTCAGTTCTCCTGTAGCCCATCCTCCCCACCACCTCCCACATTCTTGATGAGCTCTGTGACTCAGCTGCTTCTCAGGACTTCTGAGCAGCTGCCCACCCCCATTCTGGGATAGATCTATAGTCAGGAGATGTTGTAACCAGAATTCTTCTTTTTCACTTGGGTCCATGAGGGTCCTGTCCTCTCACACTCATGGATCTGTGCAAATGGATCACAAAAACAGACTTTTGGAGGGTTGTAGAAAGAGCTCCTTCTTTAGCCTGTGACTTCAAGTCACAGGTATTGATTTATCCTCCAAGCTACCCAGGGGAGTTTTGAAATGCAGCATTAAGTTAGAGACTGGGCTTTCCAAGTGAACTCAGAGACGGCAGCTTTGTTCCCCACACTACAGTTTGCACGTTTTCCTCTTAGAGACGCCTCAGGAATGGCCATAGTCCTACAGCCCTTGGGACCTCTGTTTCTTTTTATTGTGTTGGTGTTAAGGGGGTTTGCCTAGTTTTCTGGGGGTGTGTGTGTGATCCCCCTTATCCTGACCATGTAGTTCTGCTCTCTTCCTGGAAGACTGATCCGACCTCCCCGTGTGGGACCCCTGACCTCCCCACCCTCCAGGGGAAGCTGCATCCTCTCCCAGGTTGTGCCCTCCGCAGCCAGTGCCTGGCATCTTTGGGCAGCATCTGCTGGAAGATCTAAGTGTGTCCGAGGGTGTCTGTTCCTCACTCTTGGCTTGTGCTGTCTCTTTCCTTTCCCTGGAGTCCAGGTTGCTCCACTGGGAAACTGGAGCTGGCAGGGGAGCTTAGATCAAGAAGGTGCCGAGGTGGAAGGTTGGCCCGTGGGCAGTGCTAATGCAGGTCGTGCTGCTTTGGGTGGGGTGTCCCTGAGCCCGCACCCACCGGCCACGTCCCC